TCGCGAAATTACTTCATGAAACTGCACCGCCTTTGAATTCCCGCTAAAAAATTCAATCGCGTGAGGGCAACTGAATTGCTACTTGATTGAATGAATGGCTGTCTGGAGCAAAGCCAAGAGCGAGGGAGTGTTTCTGGCGTGAAGTCAATTTGGCTTAACTTATTCGGTGGGTAGTGCGCGTGATGGGTCAGATGAGGTAAGTATGAGGAGGGGAGGGGTCTGTTTGAGGCCGATTTGCTGGCTTGAGGGGGAAGCCGTTGATGTCTGCCTCGGTTTACTGGGGAATCCTACCATGACGGGAAACATCCACGGGCCTGTTGTACTCTCACCCGACTTACGACTGAGTGCGGGAATTTAGAGAGCGTAAAAAGAGTCTGAAAGAGGAGGAAGGATGACGGACTTCACGAATTTGAAATTTTCCTCGGGCGAAAATACTCCCGAAATATCTCGCTTCAGTATCGTTTGAAGCTGGACTGCGAAGTACTGAAGAATTTTGTGGTGGTTACGCGAGGGGAGCGCTCGGGTCAGCTGTTCGCCACTTTTCCAGTTGCTTTGACCAGTGCTGCATTGCCGGGCAGGCGATCCTCCCGTTCATTGCATCTCGTTGTGTCTTGAAGACGCAACACAACTTCAGCACTGTTGTACTCTGCCACACTGACCGCAGTTTTATTGCGTTTCGCTTCTCTTTTTGGTATGCTTTTTTGCTCATTATTGTGCTGTCTTCTCAATCTAGTGGTTAGTAGCAGCAAGAAATTAACTGACCAAGGTGGTGGGGGCACATAGTTCATTGGACAGATGATTGGTACTAACTGGAGGTATGCAGCTCAAAATTGGATCCCCTACTGCATCGGATTGTTCTTTTTTTCCTTCTTTCCTAGAGCAAGAATTTCTGTGCGCATTTTAAAACCCACTAAAACATTGCATTCTGGTCCGAATTATTTCCTTTCTTTTGCTTCACTGGATCTTGTTGTTTTGGTGGAAAATGTAACTTGGATAGTGTTGTTCTCCTCTTTTTGAGCACAGTTTCGTTTTGACGCCACATGTATAAGCGCATTTTGATGTGTATATGCATGCCTCAGTAGTACAGGGGTAAGCTGTGTTGATTTTCCAGGTTGCTGGATACAAGTGGCATACGGTACCAGTGTTATCGCATGGGGCGTGAAAAATGGAGAAATCGCTGGCAGAGAAGTTGTTCCTCGAAAAGATGGCCATCCTGAATCGCACATTCGTGCATTTCATCGAATGCTCAGTCAAGGAAATGCCGGACGCCGATTTGGTATGCTGCTTTTAGATCAGACAGTTGGAAAATTGCATGAACGGCTTCACTTGACTTTTCAGGCCGGAGATTGATAAATCCGAGAACAGTTAGCCAGAACTTGGCCCCATCCTCTTTCAGTCTCCTGTCCAGGGTGTATCTTTAAAATTTCCGCAACATCCTCTTCTAAATCCAACTCGTTTTATCTTTACCGTTTCTCCCAAGTCGCTGTTAATGAGCTCAGTAAGCTC